ATGGGACGGAAACATCTGCAATCCGCCATGTTCCAGGGATCAGCGATAATTCCGGGGGGGGCATGGGGGGTTCAATTGTTTTGCTGTTGAAAATAAATTCGGTGCAATCACTGTGATGGAACCTACGTGGCGCAATACAGGTGGCGCACATCATGCGGCGCAGCTCACCTGGCCGACCTTGAAATTGCCAACCAACTCCACTGACCGCGCAATCACCCCACCCACCCACGCGCAATTTGGTTTGCACAACCCATGCGGCGGCGACTGCAATGAAAGCCTGGCGCTGGCTGGCGCGCCGTTGCGGCCGCGCTAGCGGGCGCAGGCATGCGCGCAGGCGGCCATGGGTAGACGCGCGCCGTCGGACTCCCTAGGATGAGCGCACGCGGGGGAGCCATGCCCGAGGCGCGCGCGGGTTGGGCCGCCCACGGGGGCGCTGTTCGAACTTTGCCCGCGCTGCTCACATGCTTGCAGGCTTCGGGAAAGCACCGCCATGCAAGCTCCATTGTATAAAAATTAACATCGCCCTCACAAGACAGCACCGCGCGCGCGTAGCCACACCATCACGATACGACTACGCACACGGAGCTGCACCAGATACGTTCACCACGCAAATGACGCTCGCGCCTGACACCGCTGCAAACGCGTAGTCGCGCCGCCATGCCGCGCCCAAGGCCGCGCGGCAATGCTATGAACATGGACTTGCATGATAGAGCAACGCACGCGCATAAGAAGGCTTTATCGCCCACCCACAAAGGTTGAGACCAGACGGGGGGAGCTTCGCACACGACCCCATGGAGGCCCAGTGCGCACGCACCCTGGGGGAGTGCCACAGGGCACGCCCACGCGAAACCACATGCGCCTGGCGCGCGCGCGCGGGGCGCGCGCCGCCGCGTGTCCGCGGCCCCCAGAATGGGAACCAAACTTCTAGCCGGCGGAATCCCCCGCGCGAAATTCGCGCGCGAAGAGGGGGGGGGGGCCCAGCATGCGCCCGGCGCGCCCGCGCGGGGCGCGTCTTTTCACGTCTCCCCGGCCCCCAGGGGGGGGGGTCGGGAAGGGGGGGGGCGGAGAAGTTGGACAGAGGTAGAGAGAGAGAGAGAGGGAGAAAAGGGAGAAGGCGTGGAGGAGGACGAGGAGGACGAGGATCACCAGGATCACAGCATTGACACAAGCCAATATCACCATATCTACATGCGAAGGCAACCCCCCGAGCCCACCCGCGAACGCGACGAGCCAGAAGACGGGCCCCAGCGACAGGCACGAGAGGAACACGACATCGAAGTCCACGGTTATAGACCATTGCGAATCCCTCCAGAATTGACCGGCACCCTCAACAACGAAACATGACAAGCTAAGCTGAAATGAACCCGGCCCGATTCGGCCCCACAGCAGATAATCGGGCAACCTCTCACGTACATCATAAAGATCGCCTCATCCACAGACAGCCTCGCCTGACAGCGGCGCAACCGAAAACTGCCAACCAAAATGTTCATCCCTTCCAGTCGGGAAACCACGCACTGACGCATGCAAATTGAATGATAAGGCCACCTCCTGAAGTCACCCGCGCACGAGACGACCCAGTAGAGCAACGCCGCGAACGAGCACAAAAAGACCACGACAGCGAAGTCAGACAGCCCCAGAATTTGCTACCCAAGAATGTCGGACCAGCTGTAAATAAACGTGACACTCTGCGGTAGCCCACAAACTGCCAATCCAGTGTATGCCCAAGAATACATATAGCCCAGCACGCTTTGCAAACACCCAGAGTTGCAAAATGCAGCGCCCACCAACAAGGCAATACCTCCCCTAGCGGCTGTGGGAGGGAACGACATGAGAGCTGATGACGACTGCACTGAAAGCCCGCCTACCACAGAAATACCCCCCCGAGCAGCCGCGGGAGACAATGGCGCGGTAGCCGAGGACATCTGCACGGAATATCATCGGCAAGCCAACCGTGAACGCCAATTGAGAAACCCCAAAAGGAGCACGATTGACCACTGCAAACTACGCATATAGTATGATGCCCAAAACGCACTGAAGCTGCCCCAGCATAACAGTGACTGACAGCCGACGACAGGCCCTGCAGACTCCGTGAAATTTTAATAGCCACAAGGTGCACCCACTACTGAAGCCAGTTGGGAGGCCAAGCCACCGCTGTCGCAAACAGCCACATCACTGCCGCGTTGAGATTGACACGCGGCTGCATATTTTGGACGGGCAACACTTCTTCCACTTCGTCCCGCTGCACGAGACGCTTTAGCCGTTCTGACAAAAACTCCTGAACCCGCCGCTCACGAGCATGATCGCAGTAGTCCGCGTAGACCCCGATGTAGCCGCCCATGACCTCGAGCGAGAAAGGTTGCCCCACTCGTGGCGCTGGGTCCCGTGGAATAGACATCGGCGAAAGATTGGCTAACACTCCCATACACACCCGTGGCACAGGCCCCCGTCCCACTGGCCTGTGAAAAGGACACGCCACCCCCACGCTGTTGCTTGAAGGCACATAGCCACTAGATTGAGCTCGCCATTGCTCTCGTCGTAGTGTGACGGGTCGAAAGGCCCCTTCGCGTTGATGCGAGCCACCAGGTCGTGACCACCATCCAACGCGCGTAGAAGCTCATCTGGTCCATGATGGCACTGAACCGGTGTGTAGTCAGGAATAGACTTCTGGGGCACAGCGGCAGAAGGCGTACTGGTAGCTCGAAGACAGTCCGAACGTCTAGAAATCGGCACCACCGTGACATTCGGGAGCTGTCCCACTGCTGCTTCACATGCGAGGCTGTCAAACACAGTCCCTCTCTCCGTAGCATCAGCTCACCATCGCGACTACTTGCACAAAAGATTGTCAAGCACACCTCGAACATCACACGGGGGACATGTGCATGCGATGATCACGATGGACGGCACCACAGTAACCGCAGCGTCCTGAATAGCTGAAATGTATCCCGCTTGCAGATCTGCACACCCACTTGCCGAAGGATCGGACCGCAATGCCTCTCCAAATGATCCCTTTGAAGATCAGACGCCTCCCACGTGGACAACCGCAGCTCTTCCTCTGAATCTGCCATGCATACACGACTAACCGAAATAGTACTTTGCCTCGCCTCGCCACCCGCTTCAGGAAACCTGCGCTTTCCTTCGGAATCCAGTCCTTCCCTTCACGGGCCCCTCAAGCGCTGCGCGGAAGCGCGAGGCCCGACGCCAAGCCTAGTTCGAGCCAAAAGATGGATCTACAGGGCTTGGGCCGATTTGCTTGGGACGAGGAGGACGAGGAGGAGGACGAGGAGGAGAAGGAGGAGGATGGGGAGGGGGATAAGCAGGACGAGACAGGCCATGCGAAGGACAACGAACACGAAGAGGAAGGCGGACGAGCGGCATAGAGGGACAGGAGGCCGGATGATGATGATGATGATGATGATGATGATGATGATGATGATGATGATGATGATGATGATGATGATGATGATGATGATGATGATGGTGATGATGATGATGATGTTGATGATGTTGATGATGATGATGGTAATGCTGATGATGATGATGATGATGATGATGATGATGATGATGATGATGATGATGATGATGATGATGATGATGGTGCTGCTGCTGATGATGCTTATGATGGTTATGATGATTATGATGGTTATGATGATTATCATGAGTATGATGAGTATGATGGTTATGATGGTTATGATGATGATGTTGATGATGCTGATGGTGGTGATACTGATGATGGTGATGATGAGGAGGTAGGGATGGCAGTCCAGAAAGGGGAAAATAGCACGCGTGACAGAAGAAAGTTTGACTAAAACTCCTTACAGGGCTCGTGGATCCGTCAGGTCTCCTCTATCCGCGGACGCGTGTCCAAGCCGGCGTGGGACTCCAACAAAACGGCCCCGTCGTGTTATGTGCAGTCGGAAAACAAAACTGCGTATATAGGAGGTGGCGGGTGAGCAGGAAGGGATGAGCAGGACACAGAGAAGGGGTATGTTCAAGGAGCAGGGAAAGGACAAACAGCAGCAGCAGGATTTGGAGTTGACGGAGCGGGAGAAGCAGGAGAACGGGGGGAAGGCGGCGGAGGGGAAATGAGGGGAGCGAGGGGGTGACAACGATGAAAAAGGGCTCGGATCCAGAAAAGTTGCCCCCGCTGCGGCAAGAGCGCCATTCTGATCAACGGGAGCAAAACACCGATTCGAAAACAAGGTTCACGCTGCAACGGGAGCACCATCTTGACACACGGAAAGCAGTCGGATTGTTCAAAGAAGAATCATAAGAAAGACCACCTTTGTCCAGGGAGGGCGGAGCATCTTGCAGGCAGAGTCAGGGGAGAGGGCAGAGTGGTGCTGATCATGCGCACTCGTGGAGGAAGGAGGAGAAATACGAAGAGGAGGACTGTAATGTAGCGCTGATGCCCTCAGGGGTAAGCACAACCATTTCTGTGTCGGGTTGGGGAATTTGGCTCTCCCACTCTTTTGGGCCGCTGCTGGTGAAGGTGGGGAAGCCCCGCCTTAGATGGAGTGGTACAACGTACCTTCCGGTTGCACATGGACTGTCGATTGGCATGCGTCCGCCGCATGTCTTGTCAGCCACATCTGCCAGTTCAACCGTGGGAGAGGAAGCCTGGTGACAGTGTGAGTACGTGTAGCTACTCCAGCCTACTGGAGCATGCGGGTCAGGGATATGATGCTGCACAAGATGGCGTGCACATAACCACCAACATGTTTCGACATCATGGGGTCATCCCTACAACATGCTGCAGAGATTCGGGGGGGGCATCCGCCTGAAAAGTTGACCCAGGAATCTATCCTAAGGAGATAGGGTGGCAAGAGATGTGAAAAGCAACGGAACTGCTATGCTAAATTCCTTCCTAGATGCACGTCCGCACGCTCCATGCATGTGAGCACGTTCCATGCACGTCAGGAGGAGGAGCAGGAGGAGGACCCCTCCTACAGGGTCCGTCATCCCTCTTCACACAGGCGGGCGGTTGGGGCGGTGGGCGGCACTGATTGTCGGACATGCCCCCGGGAGGGGTGCGAGCGGCAGAGCCACAGGGAGAGCCGCCGCAAGGGTCCAGACGCCACAGGACTGCCCGAGCCGAAAT